AGAATAAGAAGAATTAATGGCTAATTGCCTGACCCAATGGGTTTATCTTGTCTATTGCACTGCAGCCCAGAAAAATATACAAGCATTATATGGTAATAAAAATAAACCATTTGGTTTCTTCTGTGAAATATCCTTAGCGACATCCAATAGCTTACTTGCTATACAATTTTTTATTTTATACATGTTTAGGTGACAGTGATGCCAAATTTTGTACTACTGTGTAACAGAGGTTTTTTTTTGATAAGAAGGAACTTTGAAAATGAATGCAATCATGATGTAACTTCTTTAGAGGAGAAGATCTGGTGGGGGACATGTGAGTTTGCCAAATCTAGTAGTCAGTTCCTTGCTCTCGTTCATGACTCTCAACTACATTTGAGAGAATATCACTTCTTCATTATGGAAATACTCCTCTATGGCACCATTTGATATTCTAATCTTATCAGGCTATTCTGTTGCCAATGGTCTCTTCTCAGTGGCCTTTGCTACACCCTCTCCGAGATTGCTACATGTGAGGCTGCCTACCCATCTCAGAATTCAGCACATAGTTCTCTTCTCTTATATATGTTCTTAGTAGGTGATTTTATAGAGGCCTATTGCTTCAAATATCATCTACATTTTGTTGTCTCTGGCATTCTTATCTTCAGGGAGGAATTCTCCATGAGCCTCAAGACTTATAAATCCAACATCCTATGAAACATCTCTACATGGGCCTTAATAGACATCACAAAATTAACATGGCTAAGGCAGAGATAATAATACTGTCCCTCAAATTCCCAGCTTCTGGCTGAAAAGCCCATGAGAGTATTTCAGGCATGGAAAGCCAAGACACTCTGGCAAAAAGATCTCTGTGAGTGAGATCCCAGTGGAAAGAACAGGTCTTCAAAGAAGGAGGTACCTTTCTCTGAAGGGAGGAGAGAACCTCCACTTTGACTATGACCTTGTCTAAACAAGATAAGAGTCGGAGAACTCAAGGGGCTTCCATAGCCTTGGAAACTCATGACTGGAGCATAGGGAGATTACTGATGCCATAGACAGGAGTGTCAATTGGTAAAGTCAACAACAAGAGTCACTGTGCACTTACTCCTCATGTAGGATCTCTGTCCTTAATGTGCTGTACATTGAGATTTAATGCTATAACGAGTACTCAAACAATATATTTCACTTTGTGTTTCTATGGGGGTGCAAACTGTTGAAATCTTTACTTAATGCATACTAAAACTGATCTTCTGTAAAAAAAAAAAAAATAAAAAGAAATAAAAGAAATTATCAATTCCCCAACTTTGACTCTCACTAGGATTAAACATGACAATAGGTCTGATCTGATTTCATCATCATTTAAAAAATCATCTATTATTTTTCACTTTATGTTTCTGTGTGGGAGCAAACTGTTGAAATCCTTACTTAATGTATACTAAGCTGATCTTCTGTATATTAAGATAATTGATCTTGATGTGAATGGAAGGGGAGAGGGAGTGGGAAAGGGGAGGGTTGTGGGTGGGAGGGACGGTATGGGGGGGGGAAGCCATTGTAATCCATAAGTCGTACTTTGGAAATTTATATTCATTAAATAAAAGTTAAAAAAAAATACTGAATAAAATCAGAAAAAAAAATTCCCAGCTTCCACCTCTAAATAAATGGCATTATGATTCCACCCGCTTTTCATAGTTCATCCTTTTTTGCTGTATAGGCATATTTACCTATTTTAAATTTTTTTTACTGATAATCACTGTATATATTTGTGGAGTATGGTGTGATATTTCAATAAATATATAAATGAATGTATTAATCCTTGATTCTTTTCCCCCTTATACATTACATCTGACCAAAAATTATATCTAATAATATCTATTAGCTCTACCTCCCATATACTGCAAATGTGAATATCTACTCCTGGTATTAGAGCCACTGTACAGATACTACCTATTATGTGGTGGCATAAAGCTATAGATGAAATAATTGCATCACTATGATTTCTTAAACTGCTTATTATTAATTGAGAATTGACTATAAATCATTGAACTGAAAGAAATGGTAAAATGCCTACTAATTACTCCATTCAAACATAACTCTCATAGAATTTAACAATCTCACTTCTGGGTATATATTGAAACAAGTTAAATCAGTATCTTAAAAGAGATATGTACACCCCCATGGTCCTGTTCATTGCAGCATTATTCACAGCAGCCAAAATATAGAATCAAACTAAGTGTCCATCAATGGATGAATGGATGAAAAGTGATATATTGATCACACAATGGGATACTATTCAACCATAAAAAAGGACAAAGGACATCCTGTCACCTGTAACAACATGAATTAACCTGGAAGGTATTATGCTAACTGAAATGGACTGGATATAGATAGAAAAATACCTTATGAGCGCACTTAACTGAGAAAGCTCAAAAGGTTGAACTCACAGAAACAGAGAGTAGAATGGCAACTGTCAGGAGCCATGGATTGAGGGAAATGGGATGTGCTGCTCAATGGGTAATAAATTTCAGTGGTAAGCTGAGTAAGTTCTAGGAATCTAAGGCACAGCATGATGACTATAGTTAATCATATTGCATTGCATATATTAAGTCAGCAGATCTTAAGTATCCTCAACCCCACACACAAATGATTACTATTGAAGAGATGCATGTGTTATTTGATTAGGGTTATCATTTCAAAATGCATATATTTTTCAAATCATCACATCACATATCTTAAGTATGTGCAATTTTTGTCACTTATAGCTCAATGAAGCTGAAAAAAGAAAAGTACCAAGGAAACTGGTGAATTTCAAGATATAATCAGAAATGAATTAATGGCCAGAAATGGGCAATACGTGACAGGCAGGACACTTTGAGACCCTGATGGATGGAGTCTGTAAATCAAGTGAGAGATTTAAAACTGGTGGCTCCCCCTAGAGGTGGCAGCAGGTCACAGGAATCAGGTATCTGAGCAGCAGACTTTGAGGTGGCCTAAATGAGGGAAGGATGACCTAAGGTTGGGTCAAAGCAGCTCATGACACTACATTTTGTTAGAGGATGGAGTTATAAGGTCACAGCTATCAAGTTACCACCTGCATCAAAACTTGGGAGGGTTAGGACAGAAAGTACCAGTGATGCTGAGGTACTCTGGAGTCCAGGCCCTTTGGAGAAATGGACAGGGTCACAAAGTGGAGTAAAGCAAACAATTTCCCCTTTGAACCTACGAAACTTCAATTTGGTCTTCCCCTAAAGCCAAACTGAAGTTTTGTATGTCCAAGTGGTAAACTGAACCCAAATGTCAATGTCTGATACTCTGTCCTCCATGCTACTTGTAACAGCCCCCAGATGACCCCTTAGAGACTTTGGAAGAGCCAAAACCACAAAAAAAACAAAACAAAACAAAACAAAACAAAACAAAAAAAAAACAAAAAAAACCATTATCTATCTTGCAGACTTACACCAGGCTAAGCAGATGTAGCACCACAGCTGGAAGTTCAAAGACAGGGATGTAGGGACAACTGGGGATGGAGAAAACATATAACTCCCTTGGATCCTTGGAGATAATCCTGCACAGTTATTGCCATGGTGGCTTCCTTCCTCTATCTCGCCAAACAACAGAGACTTAGTATCCAGTCTCAGAAGATTCCCCCGGGGGAGAGACAGGTATATGAGAATCCACAGCTTGTGAATGTCAATAAGTATCCAGGGAAGGAAGCATTCACATCAAAGAAGGATTCAATGATACTTTACAAAACCTTTTCTTTGTATGCCATTTCTTGCGTGCAGATTTGTCTTCTTTTTGACGAATCGTTTCATGGAGTAGAAATGAAAAACGGAATGAATACATGAGGTGAGATGTCAACCTCTTTTCCAGGAAAGAAATCATCTTTGAGAAAACTTGGTGAGAAGGTAGGAATATCTGGTCTCAGAGAGATAATTAAGTCATCATTAAACACCAAATAAGAGGGTTAACTTATGTTTATCCAATATGTAGATTTTCTATGTCTACAAAATTGTATTTTCCTTTACCCCATCTATTTCTGAGCCACATCCCTTGACCTTGGATGAATTATCAGCCCAAGAGCAGGGATTTTGAGGACAAAATGTTCTCACACAAGTTTACTCCCTCTCCCTCATTTTCCTTTCCATCATCTCTCTTTTCCCTACAGCCATTTGCATCTGATTCAGAGTTCTCTGGATGACTTTCTTACTTTCATTGTGATGCACAAAGAAACAACTTGCTTTATAATAAAGGTTATTCATCAAACACTAGCTAGAGTACTACCACATAACCTAGATGTGGGTTAGTCACCGATAATCCTTGGTCAGATGACGACCTGAACTTGATTTACACTCTGAACTTAAAGTTCCTGTCATTATCAGTCACAGAGTAAGGAGAAAAAAAAATAATCTCTGAACCTCAATTTCTGTGTGTTGTGCATGTGTGTGTGTGTGTGTGTGTGTTACCCCCTCTATCCAAATCTCCATCTTTTCTCTGTATCTGTTTTCTATAAAGGCTACTATATGCTTATATTCATACGTTAAAATCCTAGTCACCCAAGTGACAGCATTCAGAAATGCCTTTCGGAAGTAATTAGGCCCTTAAAGAGCTTGCTCCTTTGCTCCTGCTGTCTGCCTTGTGAGGATACAATGAGAAGGTGGCCACTGGACACCCAGGAAGCAGCCCCTCACCAGACACCAGCTCTGCCAATACTTTGATCTTGGACTCCCTAGCCTCAGAAAACAAGAGTAATGTAAATCTTTATGGCAATTTGTTATGGCATCGAAAACAAGGTTAAGATCTCTCTCTCAATGATTTAAAAAGCAAAAATGTACTTTCAGCTCTGATTTTTCCATACTCAAGAAGAACAATAAGCATCACAGTAAATGCCCTATGAACAACTTCTCGGTCTAAGAATAAGATGGGGGTGGGGGAGAAAGAATAAGATGGGAAATGCACATGTAGATAGTGAAAGAAGTATTAACTGGCAGTGTTGCGTATCTTTAGGTGCTCGCATGTCTGTGGGAATGTCCAACCTGACAATGCTTTCTGAATTCATACTCCTGGGACTGTCTTCCAGGCCTGAGGACCAGAAGCCACTCTTTGCCCTCTTTCTCATCATATACTTGGTCACCGTGTTAGGAAATCTGCTCATAATCTTGGCTATCCACTCTCATCCTCCACTCCAAAACCCCATGTACTTCTTCCTAAGCATCTTGTCCTTTGCTGATATTTGCTACACAAATGTCATAATCCCCAAGATGCTGGTTAACTTCTTGTCAGAGAAAAAGACCATTTCCTATGCTGAGTGCCTGACACAGATGCATTTCTTCCTGGTCTTTGGAAACATGGACAGTTATCTCCTGGCAGCTATGGCCATTGACCGCTATGTGGCCATTTGCAATCCCTTCCATTATGTCACTGTTATGAATCGCGGACGCTGTGTGTTGCTCCTGGTCTTCTCCATCACTTTCTCCTGTCTCCACTCCCTCCTGCATGTCCTTCTGGTGAGTCAGCTCACCTTCTGTGCGTCAAATGTTATCCATCACTTTTTTTGTGATGTCAACCCCGTTCTCAAACTGTCCTGTTCTTCTACCTTTGTCAATGAAGTTCTGGTCATGACAGAAGGCCTGGCCTCTGTGATGGCTCCATTTGTCTGTATCATCATCTCCTACCTGAGAATCCTCGCTGTTATTCTCAGGATTCCCTCAGCTGCCGGAAAACGCAAAGCCTTCTCCACCTGCAGCTCCCATCTCACTGTGGTGATCCTGTTTTACGCGAGTATCAGCTATGTTTACTTTAAGCCTTTGTCTAACTACAGTGTCAAGGACCGGATAGCAACTGTCATCTACACTGTGTTAACCTCAATGTTGAACCCATTTATCTACAGTTTAAGAAACAAAGACATGAAACGTGGCTTAAGGAAACTGATGAATATTAAGTTTCAAATGAAGAACTTGTCTTCTATAAACGTCAATAAAATCCAGGGACCGTGATTGCAAGAGTTGTGTGTGTGTGTGTGTATGTGTGTGTGTCTGAGCATTCAAGTCTGGATGCAAATCTTCTGAGGAGAAAATTTTTCATCAGTTGTGGCTGTTCCTTGTAGTTTTCCACCCTGCAGTCCATGTCATGCTACAACTGCACAGTCAGGATGTCTTGGTACCTATGCTCCAATTGTAGACCCACCCTTTAACATCTCTCATTCCAGATAATCTCATTCCTTATACTCAGTTCTTATTTACCTGGAGCCTCCTAGACTTCCTTTCATTTACTAATTCAAATTTCAGTAATTGAATTATCAAAGTTTTTTTACATCGATATAAAAATTGATATATATATGAACACATTCACCCATATGTAACCACTCTATTTGAAGATGTCAAGAATTTTTATAGGTGTGTTTGTGTGAGAGTGTGTGAGTGTGTGTAAGAGAGAGAAAGAGACCTCCCCATCATATTAAGGACCCCTCAACTGCAGAATCAGATAATCAGTGTTCTCTGATCATTCCATGATAGAGCTATGGTCTCTTCTTAAAATTCTTATAAGGACTGGATGTCCTGAGCTTTAGAATCATAGATTCTAACACCTGGCACCAGTCACCTAACCAACTATTCACAAGGTAGTTCTATGCCTTTACTTTTCCTTTCTACTGTTGTCTTTTCTGTCTGTCAATTTTCTCCAAATAAATGGAGACTTATTCCATGTAATCCAAGTGCTTCCTATGGTCACTGAAGAGAGAGTGGAAAATCAGAGGGAAAAGTGCTACAATGAATTGTTCATATGTGGAGTACAGGAAAGTCGTTCTCATAGAAGTTAAGCGTATAAAGGCAGCGACCAGAGTCAGGTGTGAGTGGAGCAGGGATAAGGAAAGCTTGGTGGCTGAGTACCCAGGTACGATTAGGTAAGAGGAAGAAGCCTGGTGTTCTGTTGCACATTAGGGTGACTAAATAACAACGTACAGTCTACTTGTCTAAAAACATCACCATACAGAAATACTAAATATTTTTATAGATAGATATAATCACCCTGACTAGATGCTATGTGTTATAGACATGTATGGGAACATTGTACTCAAAAATATGTACAATTTTTATGTGTCAGTTAAAAATAAAATTTTAAAAATTAACTGTTGCAAACTACTTGGCTCAGAGTGACTGATGTAAAAGAGACTCTCAATTTAGTCTGGAAAGAAGTAAGCTGACTTACTCTACACAATGTTGTTTAGAAAAAGCGCAGTGTAATGAGTCTCTTGATATTTGTAAGTTTTAAAGATTTACTTTATTTAAAAGACAGAGTTACAGAGAGAGGGAGAGACCAAGAGAGAAGGAGATCACCACCCACTGTTTCACTCCCCAAATGACTGCAATGGCCAAGGCCAGACAAGGCCAAAGCCACGAGCCTGAAACTCCAGGTCTATCCAGTGGGTGGCAGGGGTCCAAGTACTTGGGCCATCATTGACTGCTTTGCAGGTGCATTAACAAGGACTTGGATTGGAAGCAGAGTAGTCAGGACTCAGACCGGTGCCCTTATATGGTATGTAAATTGTTGCAAGCAGCAACCTAACCCACAGTGTCACAACACCAGCCCCATTGTTTGTATTTTAATAAATGGAAATGTTTAAGTCAAACAAATTAACCTCTTGTAGTGTTTTAGACAAGCAGCACAGGGTTGACCTCAAAACTTTAAAGTATAGCATAAGATTCTGATGATATATTACACAGCTTGGTGAATATAGTTAATAATAATGTGTTATATATTTTTAAATAGCTAAAAAATGGGTTTCAAATGATCTCATCACAAACAAATTATTTGAGGTGGTGAACATGTTATTATTTGATCATTCTACAGTGTCTACCTGTATAACACACATTGTATCCCATAAATATATAAAATTATTCATTACTAATTAAAATTCAAATAAAACCTTTTTGAGAGTGAGTTGTCACACCCCTTTGATTTCACTGCAATAATCTGTAACATAAGGCAAAGCAGATCCAGAGTGAGGATATATTACTCAACGTCATTCATTTATTACACGTGTGGCAGATTATTCTTGACTTTCATGCCATCTCTGATCAGTTGCGTTGCTGTCATGAGAACACTTTGTGTGTCTACCTCTGGGGTGAATGAAGAATGAATGGAGACTGAGTGTATCCGCTGGGGACATGGAAGCAAGAGCACTAGTTCTTAAATCGCGTGAATTTTCACAGTCACCACAGGCCCTGGGGACTTGGCAAGCAACGGAACTGTATTTCTAAAGCTCCTTCTCTGTGGTTCAATCTTTTTTCTTTCTTTTTTTTTTTTTTTTTGGCTGCAAGTCCTCAGTTTACCTAACTGCAGTCCAAGTCTGAGGTTCTCCAGCCCAACACTTTCCCAGCGGCTTCTGCTGTAATTTTGCTCCATTCCTTTATTTCAGACCTTTCAGGGCTGACACTACTCCCTCCAACTCCTACTTATAAACTAGGGACTCACACAGCATCTCCCTGACGGCCCGAAGGTCAGAGTAGTTCTTTGCAGCTGCTGATTTTGTTGCTATCCAGTCTCTTCTGCCCTCATTCCGTCCATTTGTCACCATGAAAGATGGTAAGTCTTGCTTTAGTGGGTTGCTTTTCAGTTCTGCCTACACTCTCCAGTGATGGCCCAATGGCAATACTCCTCTTTGCTAACACAAAGTGGCTCATACCATATGTGTTTTATGTGAGTTTCCCCTCTTCCATCCACTAACCTGGCTCTTGTCTCTCACTCATCTGATCTGAATGAGCAGTTCCTGATTATTGGAAAGCCTTTTTACCATCTCCAATAAAATACTTGGAGCAAACCTAGTTCTCCAGTATGTACAAGTCCAACGTCACCTATTTCTATTGACCCTTTTTTTTTTTTTTTTTGGACAGGCAGAGTGGACAGTGAGAGAGACAGAGAGAAAGGTCTTCCTTTTCCGTTGGTTCACCCCTCAATGGCCGCTGCGGCCGGTGCACTGCAGCCAGCGCGTCGTGCTGATCCGAAGGCAGGAGCCAGGTGCTTCTCCTGGTCTCCCATGTGGGTGCAGGGCCCAAGCACTTGGGCCATCCTCCACTGCACTCCCGGGCCACAGCAGAGAGCTGGACTGGAAGAGGAGCAACCAGGACAGAATCCAGTGCCCCAACCAGGACTAGAACCCCATGTGCCAGCGCCACAGGCAGAAGATTAGCCTAGTGAGCTGCGTCGCCGGCCTCTATTGATTCTTCTAATACCAGGAACATGAGGAATAAAACCTTCATTTGGGAAGCAGAGCAGAAATCCAATCTACTCTCAGATTTGGAGATATAAAAGAGAATTCAAAGAATTTTGGAGGCTTCATTTAAATTTATTCATTCAATTTGGCTTATCTTTCAATTCTTTTCTGGGTTATATATATTGATTCCCAGTGCTGACTCTTAAAAGCTAAGTATTTGATACCTTTGTTTGCTAATCCACGTATGGGAACTGAATTGTGCCCCCTTCAAAATTTGCATGTGAAACTCCTAACACTCAGTAGTTCAGAACGTGAATGCATTCAGAGGCAGTATCTTCAAAGAGGGAATTAAGGCTACATGAGATCATTGAGATGGGCCCTACTCCAATATCATTGGTGTTCTTTTAAGAAGAGATCAGGACTGTGGCTAGGATGTGGTGTAGCAGGAAAAGCCGCAGCCTGTGACACTGGCATCCCATATGGGCACCAGTTCAAATCCAGCTGCTCCACTTCCAATCCAGCTCCCTGCTAATGTGCTAGGGAAAGCGGGAGAGGATGGCCCAAATGTTTGGGCCCCTGCACCCACATCAAAGACCCAGAAGCTCTTGGTTCCTGGTTCCTGGCTTTGGCCTGGCCCAACCCAGGCTATTATGGCCATCTGTGGAGTGAACCAGCAGATAGAAGATCTCTCCCTTTCTCTCAGTAACTCTGCCTTTTAAATAAAAACATAAGCTTTTTTTTTTTTTTAAGAAAGTAGGTTTGAATATATATGACTGGCTAAAATAAGGTAGAAAACATGGACCCTATGTGACTGGGTGCACAGTGATTGGAGTTGTGGTGGTACAGAGGACAGTGACCTGGATGAGACAGATGCTGCAGGTTGGATTTATCCTCTAACCCCTTGTCTAGCCCCAGCTGTTGCGGCCTTTTGGGGAGTGAACCAGAGAATGGAAAAGCACGTTTGCTCGCTCTCGCTCTCTCCCCTCCCCTTTCAAATACATAAAAAATAAATCTTAAAGAAGAAATCAAGACACAGACACACACACAGAGGGAAGATGATGAAAAGACACTGGGAAAAGACAGCCACCTGCAAGCCAAGGAGAAACAGCTCAGCGGAAACCAACTCTGTCAACACCTTGATCCTGAAGTTCCAGCTTCCCAAGTTGTGAGACAGTGAACTTCTGCTGTTTAGTCCACCTCAAAACTAATGCAATATCTCTGATAATTCTGCTGGGGAGAACTGAAAAGTAAATGGTACTTGATGCTTCAGATCTTTAATCAGCAACATATCCTTGCAACATATCTTTCATTCTGATTACAAAATCAATTTTCAAAGCCAAAAATCTCTAATTCATGTTTTATCTAATGGAATATAAGATTTGAACTTTACCATAATCTCTAGCCCTCCCAGAAATAATGCCCACAACTTAGCTGTGAAATACTGGGGTGTAAAGAATAATTATAATAGAAAGACAAGGGAAGCCTGATTTAAACCAAAGCCTCAACTAGGTAAAGAGTTACTGTTACCACAGATCCTGTGAATGTTCCCTAGCCATCACACCATAAACTGTGTGGGAAATATGCAAGGGTCATGGCTTCCTACCCATCTCTGTAAAAGCAGAATCTGTGACAGTTCCCGAGCATGTCTTCTTCCATGTAAGTTGAGGTTGAGCAGTCTCTCCTCGATAAGTGAGGACTTACTTGGGCTAACTTGAATCTAAGTTGTTTTTGCATTCTTTTTTTTTTTTTTTGACAGGCAGAGTGGACAGTGAGAGAGAGACAGAGAGAAAGGTCTTCCTTTGCCGCTAGTTCACCCTCCAATGGCCTCCGTGGCTGGCGCGCTGCGGCCGGCACATTGCGCTGATCCGAAGCCAGGAGCCAGGTACTTATCCTGGTCTCCCATGGGGTGCAGGGCCCAAGCACTTGGGCCATCCTCCATTGCACTCCCGGGCCACAGCAGAGGGCTGGCCTGGAAGAGGGGCAACCGGGACAGAATCCGGCGCCCCGACCGGGACTAGAACCTGGGGTGCCGGCGCCGCAGGCGGAGGATTAGCCTATTGAGCCGCGGCGCCGGCCTGCATTCCTTTCTAACACTGGTAATTATTCCATCCCAGCAGCTAGGGTTTAATCTTTTCCAATACCCCTGCATGGATGTTTGGCCTCTAAATTAGGTCATCTGTATCTGGTGGGTGAAACTACACTCAAAATATCTCAAGGCCACTGACATTTTGTCCTTTGTAATTGAAGCATTCACCCATTTGCCCACTCAATAAAAATTTATTAGGCACCCCCAGACCCTACAGTAAGCACATCAGAAGCATTATCCACAAAGACCACATGAGAGCTGAGGGTCTCCAGGGTCTTTAAACAGATAGCAAAATAGA